TATCCAGGCCCTGGTCAGGTAGCTCATTTGGTTAGAGCATCATCCTGATATGCCTAGGTTGAGAGTTCGATCTCCTGTCAGGGCATATACAATACAAGAAGCAACAAATGAATGCATAAATAAATGGAACAACAGGACCTGCTCAGGAGAATGGCACTTCCACGTGAGGATTGGACTTTCAGTCAAGACAGAGGCATAGGTAAACATGCCTCGCCTCCTTACACAACTATGACAAAAATTGTAACTAGACTACAAAACAGGTATCATCCAGAAACGTCAGAAAATCAAGCTGTATGGAAGTTGGACAACCAAGGATTTTAAGAAACTACGTTCATCCAGATGGGTGCGCCTTTCTACCATAGGCCACGTTACTAAAACAGGGAGTCAAAGCAGTTCTACCTAATATACAGAAACAAACACAGGCTGCCAAAATGAGGAGACAAAGAAATATGGCTCACATGAAAGAACAAAACTCCAGAAAAAGAACGATATGAAATGAAGATAAGCAACCTATTAGATGCAGAGTTCAAAACACTGGTTATTAGGATATTCAAGGAACTCACTGGGTACTTCAGCAGCATAAAAAAAGACTCAGACAGAAATGAAGGTTACATTAAGTGTAATAAAGAAAAATCTACAGGGAACCAACAGAGGAGAGGATGAAGCTGAGAATCAAATAAACAATTTGGAACACAAGAAAGAAAGAAAATTCAATTAGAATAGCAAGAAGAAAAATGAATTCAAAAAAACAAGGATAGGCTAAGGAGCCTCTGGGACATCTTCAAATGTACCAATATCCAAATCATAGGGGTGACAGAAGGAAAAGAGGAAGAGAAAGAAATTGAAAACTTATTTGTAAAAATAATGAAAGAAAACTTCCTTAATTTGGTGAAGGAAATAGACATACAAGTCCAAGAAGCACAGAGAGTCCCAAACAAGATGGACCCAAAGCGGACTACAGCAAGACACACCATAATTATCCCTGGCTGGTGTGACTCAGTGGATTCAGTGCCAGACTGTGAAGCAAAGGGTTGCTGGTTCGATTCCCACTCAGGGCACATCCCTGGGCTGCAGGCCAGGTCCCCAGTAAGGGGTGCATGAGAAGCAACCACACATTGATGTTTCTCCCCCTCTCTTTCTCCCTCTCTTCCCCTCTCTCTAAAAAAAATAAAATAAAATCTTTTTTAAAAGACACACCATAATTAAAATGCCAAAGGTTAAATATAAAGAGAGAATCTTAAAAGTGGCAAGAGAAAAGCAGATAGTTATCTACAAAGGAGTTCCCATAAGACTTTCAGCTGATTTCTCAAAAGAAACTTTGCACCTAGAAGGGACTGGTAAGAAGTATTCAAAGTGATGAAAAGCAAGGACCTACAACCTAGATTACTCTATCCAGCAAAACTATCATTTAGAATTGAAGGGGAGAAAAACTGCTTCCCTGACAAGGTAAAACTAAAGGAGTTCATCATCACCAAGCCATTATTATATAAAATGTTAAAGCAAATTATATATTAAAAAAAGACCAAATCTATGAACATTAAATAGCAATAAATTCACAACTATCGACAACTTAATCTAAGAAAAACAAACTAAGCAAACAAGCAGAACAGAAACAGAATCATAGATATGGATCATTCAGAAGGTTATCAGTTGGGAGGCAAAAGGGAGAGAAAGGGGGAAAAGTTTCAGGGATTAAGTAAAAAATGGAAGGTACAAAATAGACAGGAGGATGTTAAAGAACAGTATAGGAAATGGAGTAGCAAAGAACTTATATGCATGACCCACGGACATGAACTAAGGAAGGGGGGATTGCTGGAGGGAATGGGGGTACCGGGTGGAGGTGGGCAAAGGGGGAAAAATTGGGACAATAGCATAATCAACACAATATATTTTAAAAAGTGAAAAAATAAGTGGAACAACAAATTGATGTTTCTCTCTCTCTCTCTGGAAAATCAAGGAAGGGAGGAAGGAAAGGAGGAAGGGAATTTATCCAGGAAACAGGCATGACTTAGCCTAGGTGACCAACCATAGGTAGAAAATCAATCAGGTATAAAAGACAGGTTTTAGAATCTATGTGTGCTGGGGAACTTACCTACAGTCACTGCATATGCACATCCCAAATGTGCTTCAATTCAGGTGATTGATGGAATGAAAAGGGCTGTTTTAGGTAGTAAAGACAGCCATCTCTGGATGTATGCTGAGTTTGGGTCCTTGGGGTGCCATGAGAAATGATGATCTAGAGTTGGGTTACTGACAAGGCAGAATTGGGAACTAAATGTGATTTGGCTAGGGAAATAGGAGTATGGATAAGGAAGCTGGAGGAAAGTAGAACCTTTCAGAGGAAGTCAAATTGCATAGCTCAGGACAAAGAAAGATGTTCCAAAATTAAGACGGAAACCTGGAAAGGACTCAATTAAGATTGCCCTAAGAAGAGAAATTCCAGGGGCAAAGAAAGTCCAAATCTAGCATAACTGATCTTGTGCAGTTCCTTGTCTAGCTCAACCTTGGTGTTTATTGTAGTGCATTGCAGACTGCACAAGAATTTCCCAGGGAGGAGGTATCCTAAGTGTGAGGGAATTGTACTAGACAAGTTATTGGAAAATGCAGGGACAGGCCTAGCATCTGACTTTTTTCTCAGAAAGGACTATTTCCTCACAAGTATGGCCCAAAATGAATCACATCCTCATGCCTATTTTCAGAATTCAACCTTGTCTTTATCCTTCCGACCTCCTTGACCTGGACCAGTTATAACTCAATTAACTTGTAATCTCATATTTTATGCTTGATTTTGCTGTTTTTATAATCAAATGTAGTTACCAATACTTCCTACCATACAAATTTACCTTTAGTGCCTTTTATGAAAATGGGATAAAACGCCACCACTAAATAGTATCATACCAACTGAACAGAGTATTAACTTCCAAGGTATTTGGATTAACATTCGTTCTTCCCTAATGTAGGCAAAGGTGTAAAACAAACAAACAAACAAACAAAAAACTGCAGTGAACTGGCTTTGAATTCTGAAGTATTGTCCATTTTTTACTTCAGAAAAACTTGGAGCACTTTTTGTTGTTTTGTGGGGGTGGGGAGGCATGGAAGGAAACTGAAGTGGGGAAAAGAACAAGGTGGGGGCCAAACATGGACTTGGCCAAGGTGAGACACTTGTACAGCTGACTCTGAGGCCTTTGTAGATTCCACATGACAAGAAGGTTTGGGCATTTACCATCCATCAGCTAAACTCGTCCTGTGCTGGATTCATCTGATTGAAACCCAGAGAAGCTGACACATGACTTGGCTTTCTCCAGTGGGGTTACTCGTAAGAGAAACTGCCCATGCTGCTGACTTCTTGGCTCTGGAGGCAAAAGCAGCAAGACTAAGGATTTTTTTCCCTCTTGTATAAATAAACCTGACTACTTGAAAATGGAATATAAAATAACCCCCTAAAACCTAGCCAAAATGGTCTCTTCCTAAATCAGCTTGGGTCACACCTTCAGAAAGTACTCCCTTATTTGCTGACCCCTGCCTCCAAAACTGGAGGTGCTTGATCCTTTGTTTTCTCTCCCTGCCCCCAACTTATTGATTGATTGATTTAAGAGAGAGAGAAAGGAAGAAATATCAACTTGTTGTTACACTTACTTATGCATTCATTGGTTGATTCTTGTATGTGTCCTGACCAGGGGTTGAACCCACAAGTTTGGCATATCAGGACAATGCTCTAACCAGCTAAGCTACCCAGCCTGGGCCCTTTGTTTTCTTAACTCCCATCCAAAAGCTCTATCACTGCATTTATTCCAATATGATGGTCTCTTTCAGTAACTCACTAGAGAAGGGCTTAACCTTTTTGTGCCTTTCATAGACTGCTGAAACCTATTGGACCAATTCTCGGAATGTTTTTCAATGCAAGAAATAAAATACATAGGATTACAAAGGAAACCTATTATATTCAAATATAAATTCCAGATAGTCTCTAGAGTATGAACCTTTTGAGTGCAGGTAATGTGTTTTCACCTCTGTACTGCCAGTGCCTAGCACAAAGCCTGGCACATAGATCATACTTATAAATGTTTATTGAATGAACAAACAGAAAGATGGCTACTGCCAAGTCAGCCTGAGGAATGATTCATTGCAAATGCTTGCACACAGATGAATGGCTTGCATATATCTCACCCCATTTAAGATCATGTAGACCAGACTTGTAAGGGAAGCCCCCAACTCAACAATGGGTGCCATAACATCTAGTAATAATGACAGGCTATTGGAAGACCAGGAAAACAACAAAGCTTGTGTATTTCCACCAGCTGGAATATTCAGAAAGTAAAAGTAATCAGGCTCTGCCCTTAGGAGGAGGATATCTCTTGACTTTGGAAGCATGATGCTCATACTACCTTAAAATACTACCAACAGCTCTGATGGAGGGAAGAAAGGAACCTGAGCTAGCATGTAGATATTCTCCTCCTCTGTTCTGAATTGGGCATATTGTCTCTGGGAAAGAGAAAAGTGTCCCTAAAAACCACATTAGGGATGATATGCCTTTCTAGTTTTAATTAACAGTTTTAGCTTTAGACAGAATTATTGGATTTGTTTATGTACCAACAGGAAACCTAAAGAAGCAAGAAATAAAAGCCACTTTCCTCACTAAAGATACATCAAGGGCTAAAGGTTTGTTCTAAGCTGATTGCTACATCTATTAAATATTTTGAAAAGAAAAATAAAACCCCAATTTTAAAGCTGAAAACCACAACAGTATGGGGTTCAAAAATCTCACCCTTAAGGCTTTTATGATTGACCCTCCCAAATTAGAGGGCTTTGCCAGCTATATACAGCCATCTGAGGGACAGCACAACTGTTTTCACTTGCTTGACAACAGGGTTTCCAATATCTGTTGGAAGAAACATGGCTTCAAGTGGGTGGCTTCTTACAAAAAAAAAAAAAAAGGAAACTACAGGTCAAAGTTTTGCTTTTAATTAAAAAAAACAAAACAAAAACTCCCACTCCTAAGGTGTGTGCTTTCTTTTTGACCTATTTTTCTTTTAAACTGTCTGTGGTTCCCCTGTATTTTTCCTAGTGCAGTAAACAATGCAACCAAAAGAAATAAAAACCAGGGTCCACTCTTGCCCCAAACACTGAAGATGGTAAAAAAGGAATCACAGCACAGAAAATGGCCCAGCTCTAAATATACAAACAACATTAAAAAAAAGAAAGAAAATAAGATACACCCCCCTACTCCAAAGACATTATTGTTGACATTCCTGGTACATTTCCTATAATATAATGTTGCAGACAATGCTTCTTTCCCAGGGAGTCCAGCTCGCTCAGGAGGAGACATCCCCTCGACCTCAGGATAGGCTGGGGGTATTTAGTCTTCCTGCCAACTAAAGTTTTTTTATGAGTTCAATATCACAGAAATATCTGTGGTATAAATGAATCTAAAAGGGGATGAAGGCAGGCAACTGTCACTGTTCTCCAAATCAGCCAAAAAGCTGAAAAGTATGGGATCCAGGAGACAGATGCCATTAAGAGTGAGGGATGGAGGGTAGAACAAGAGGAAGCACCAAATGAGTGGCTGCTTTTGGTTCCAAAGCCAAAAAAGGGCCCCACCAAAAAGGGCAGCTGGTCTGGATAAGGAACTCCCCTGCTCCTGGAGTCATGCAATAAAAATAATGGTCTTGGAGGCCCAACCACCACAACAGCCATAGACCAAGAGCAACTTACACCGTATCACACAGTTTACAAATGAACGGACTCATCCTAGTTTAGAAAGGTAAGTGCTTTGACAAAGTTAGGGGCAAGGTGGGCTTGAATCCCAAAGCACAGCTGTGACATCCCTGGATTTCTATTTCTCCTGATGCTACTTGCTCCATGGCACTGTACCCTTCCACTTATCAGTGGCCTCTCCTCGAATTAGCACCCATAGTGGTAACCCTCAGAGATATCAAGAGGTATCAGTTGCACTTCGGGAAATAAGATAATTTCTTTGCCCCATCCTGGCCAAAGCACTTCCCTTTTTAAGCTGCTGCTCCAAGCAACAGAGTTCCCCTTCAAGCAGAGTTCAACTTCCTTTTGTTTCAGAGTTTTGCACTGGCCTCTGAGGGCCCAATCCAGGATACAAAATGAACTATCCTTCTGCATCCATGTGTGAGTGGGTTGCCTTCCAGTATCAGGTCTGTGTTCCAGAGTTTGGTCAATGCATCTTTACAGGAATAAAACCACATGCATACACAGGTAGGCTAGCCTGGAAAGGGCTTTCAGGATGGGGTTTCTGGTTATCTTGATGCCTCCCCTGAAAGAAATAACTTTCTTGGTGTAAGAGGATGAGGACATTGCGTGACCTACTCTCAACTTCTGGAAGGGCAGCTTGTTTTTTGTCCATTTTTTCAATGAGGGGGTGGAAGGTACCCAACATTTTCAGTTAGAGCAACCAGATATTGTTTTGTTTTGTTTTTTTAAAAAGGATCCTATGTGGAAATGAGTGGGACAATGATAAAAGTAAACAAATAATTACAATTTAAAACCAAAACATGTCTCCTGGCCCCGATATCCCCAGTTAATCCTCTAAGACCACAATTTCCACATTGTGGACTTGATGCTGATGTTCTTCCATCTCAGCCACAACTTTCTCCTCAGTCCTCAGCTCTGTCTCCAAAATGACTGCTTTGCCCTCAGTATCCTCAGCCTCTGGATCTGGGGCTGGGTCAATCTCAATGATGGTCTGCCCATCCTCTGAGGTGCTTTCAACAGCCTGTATTGCCGAGGTCAGGCCAGACTCCATGGCCACCAACTCCACAGGGCTCACCATGGTGGTCATATTGCCCAGGGTACTCCCATCCTGCATGGCAGTAGAGCTTAGTAGCGTCAAGCTGGATGAAGGGTGAATGGTCACTGTGTCTGGTGAGCTGCTCTTGGCAGAGGAGACCACTGTGGCATAGCGGAAGAGCTGAGGGCCAGAAGGCAGTGTGTGGACAGTCACAGGACTGGAGCCCTGGCTGAGGGTAGCCACTGGAATATTGCCCATGGAAAACGACTGACCCACTGGGGTGATGGTGATAGGTGAGATGACTGTGAACTGAGGCTGCTGGACAGGAGGAGAAGGGCTCAGGACAGTGGTGGAGGCTGGCCGCTGGAGCCGAGGCCTTTTTGGAGGCTTAGGAGTGCTCACAGGCATCAATACCACATTTTGAACCGTCTGGGATTTCAGCCTGTGATCCTGAGCTTGCTTCTTCTGCTCTTCCAACTGGCGTTCCAAGTCTATTAAAAAAAAAAAAGAAGAAGAAGAAAGAAAGAAAAAAAGAAAGACTGGGTGGAGGGAACTATAATCTTGGGAGTGGTAAAATGAGGAGGAGGAGACCTGGGGTCTTGTTCTGGTCTTGTCACTATGTAGTCACAGCAGAGTCACTTCATGGTTTTTAATAAGAAACCAGACTAGCCCTCGCTGGTGTGGCTCAGTGGAATGAGTGCCGGCCTGCGAACTGAGAGGTTGCTGGTTTGATTCCCAGTCAGAGTACACGCCTGGGTTGTAGGCCAGGTCCCCAGTAGGGGGTGCTCAAGAGACAACTACACAGTGGTGTTTCTCTCCCTTTCTCGCTTCTTCCCCTCTCTAAAAATAAATAAATAAAATCAAAGAAAACCCCACCAAAACCTGTTTTTTAAAAAAAAGAAACCAGATTAGATGATATTTTTTAATCATCACCTGAGGACATGCTCACTGATTTTAGAGAAAAGGGAAGGGAGGGAGAGAGAGAAACATCAATGTGAGAAACACTGATCTCGTACATACCCCAACTGAGACCGAACCCGCAACCTAGACGTATGCCCTGACCAGGAGTTGAACCTGCGGTCTTTTGGTTTATGGGATGATGCTCTACCAACTGAGTCACACTGGACAAGAATTTTTGAAAAGTTAAATCAGGTACTATTATAAATACCCAATGTTGGCGAGTTCAAACTGGTGATGTAAATTGGTATAATCTTCTTGGAAATTTGACAATAATTCAAAGAAATCCATAAAAAAAATTATCAATACTATATAACCTCAAGCTTAGTCCTGAGAAGTAATTTAAAAGGACATAACAAGAAAAAGTTAGGCCCTGGTTGGGTACTCAGTTGATTAGAGCGTTATCCCCATATGCCAAAGTTGTAGGTATGATTCCCAGTAAGGGTATATACATGAATCAACCAATGAATACATAAATAAGTGAAACAACAAATTGATGTTTCTCTCTCCCCCTTTCTCTCTTTCTAAAATAAATAAGTAAAAATTAAAGAAAAAAACACTATATTCAGACAAGGCCAATGTAACAAAATAAGCTACTGAAGAAAAGTTTGGAAATTTAAATATCTAGCTGTTGTGGCTAAGTGGATTAAGTGCTGGCCTTCAAACTGAGAGATTGCTGGATTGGTTCCCAGTCAGGTTACATGCCTGGGTTGCAGACCAGCTCCCCAGCTAGGGGCATGCAAGAGGCAACTGATCGATGTGTCTCTCACATATTGATATTTCTCTCCTTTTCATTCTCCCTCCCTTCCCCTCTCTCTACAAGTAAATAATTTTTAAAAAAAGAAAAAGAGAAAGAAAATTTAAATGTCTAGGTAGGAGAATGTCTAGGTGAAATACTATGTAGCAACTTGGAAAAATATTAATATGTCATAGTAAAAAATCGAAAACAAAACCTTACATATACTATGATAAAAACTACCTAAAAAAATAATATGGACAGGGAACCAGAAGCCTACTGTCCTAACAAAAACTATTTTTCACATAATGTAAAGTTTCAAGGTAGCAGATAGCACTGGATTATGAATAAGAGTTCTACTTTGGGCTTCTTGTGGTCCTAGGCAAATAATGTATTGTCTCTGTTCCTCTATGGGTCATCAGTAAAATAGGGGTAACAGCCTATAACAATATTCTTAGGAGGATCGACTGGCAAAGGGTGTCTCTGACAGCACTTAGTAAACAGAGTTTAAAATACAAACTGGATATAGCCCTGGCTGGTGTGGCTCAGTGGATTGAGTGCCACCCTATGAATGAAAGGGTCACTGGTTTGATTCCCGGTCAGGTCACATGCCTGGGTTGCAGGACGGGCCCCAGCAGGGGGCATGCGAGAGGCAACCACACATTGATGTTTCCCTCTTTCCCTCCCTTCCCCTCTTTCTAAAAATAAATAAATATTTTTTAAAAAAACAACTGTGTATAAAAATGACTTTAAAACAACCCAAATTGTTCTCCTCTTACGAAACATCTTTCTTGCCTTTCAGCTTTATGACTGACTATAATATATTCTATGGGGTTGGCCAAAAAGTTCATTTGGTCTTTTTCTGTATGATGACTCTAGTAGCACTTAGTTGTCTTTAACTTCATTCAAAATAATATTGTTAGATCATATTGTTACAGCTGTCATATCAGCATGCATTTTTTAAAAAACTTATCAAAACTGGTGAATTTTTGTGTAGTCATTTTAATACTGAAGATGGAAGAAAATACACAACATTTTCGGCATATTATGCTTTATTATTTCAAGAAAGGTAGAAATGAAACTGAAACACAAGAAAAGATTTGTGCAGAGTATGGAGAAAGTGTTGTGACTGACTGAATGTTTCAAAAGTGGTTTGTGAAGTTTCATGTTGGAGATTTCTCACTGGGTAATGCCCCACAGTCGGGTAGACCAGTTGAAGTTGATAGCAATCAAATTGAGATATTAGTTGAGAACAATCAACGTTATACCATGAGGAAGATAGCTAACATGTTCAAAATATCCAAATCAATAAAGTCATAACAATGAAAAATGTATCTGTAATTTTACAGAAAAAATCATATGGACTTTTTGACTAACCCAATACATCATTCAAATGCTGATGATACTCCATACCTCTGACCTGTTTTGTATCCTTCACCTGCTTTACCTCCTTCAAAAGCCTCTCCTGATTCTTTCCAGGTGTAAGTGATAATTCTTTTTGTTTCTCTACCATACCCACTATATGCCTCTGTTACAAAACTGATTACTTTTAGCACTTACTATATTTCCATGTCTGTTTTCCCTTGAGTTCCTTGATGGCCCTCAGTATTCAACACTATATTTCCTTTCTTTTCTTTTTTTTTTAGGAAGTAAAGTTTTTATTCACTCTCCAAGAAAGGAGAGGAGCATGGTGTGGAGAAATACGCAAGCCAATACTATATATCTAAAACCTAGTTTGGAGACGAGCACAAAGTACTTGATAAAAATAATTACGTTATCCCTGTGCTCATAATTTATTACCACAAATAATGGAGAATATGCTAAATGTATATCTGTCAAAAGACTCAGTAGTAATAATGTAAAAAAGACAAAGGCCAATTTGTTTCTTCTGCCATCAATATTTCTGGATTAATGGAGCATTCTAGCAGACATCCTAATTCTGCAAAAGATAGAGAAGGAGTACTGGGATGCTGGCTCCTTTCTCTTTTCCTGTGTGCCTCATCTATTTCCCACCACTTCACCCAACCTGGGGCTTTGTATAAAAAAAGCCAAATATGATACTATGTGAGTTGAAAGAAAAAAAGAAAGAGAAAGAGAGGGAATTGGGGTAGAGGGAAGAAAGAAGAAAAGAAAGAAGCAAGCCAGTTCCAACAGAAGTCAACAAAGAAATGGCAAGACTTAAGGATATTAGTACATCACCTAAGAAGAGACATAAATCATACATACCTGTCAGAGTATAGAGAAACTGCTCTTCTCCCTGCTCTATTTGGTTCCTTCTGTTGTCCAAAACCTTCTTAACTGTGTCCATTAGGCCAAACGTATGTGCCACATTGTTGAGAACAGCGGCATCTATTTAAAACAAAAGACATGTCTGTTGAGTTAAAACAGAAAGGTTCCACCATCTCCCTATTGTGCTATATATAAATATGGAACAATCAGAAAATGATGGGACTATTCTAATTGTATTTTTAAACAATTTTAACAAAGATTGATCACATGTATAACAATTTTGATTCAACTGTTATATCTATACTAATATGTTAAATAGATATATGAGTGAGAGAGAATTGAGAGAATTACTTTTCTGACACATTGATAAAGGCAAAAATTACCTGTGGAAAAAGCATGGCCAGACCTGAGTTCAAAACCCAGTTATGAACTTTGAACAAGTAACTTACATTTTATGAGCTCTAGTGTACTATTTTGTAAAATGGGGATAATACCTATCCCTCAGTGTTTTTGTGAAATAATAAGATCTGCCTGCCTGCAGTTGTTAGTGTTTAATAAATGACTTGATATTATTAGGATTAATGCACTTACCTGTGACCTGGAAGGGAGCCTGGATGAGCCGCTGCTGAACCCCCCTGAGTAGTTCCTCTATTTCCTTCTGTATGTTGCATACAACCTCTTCCATCAGGCCTACATCAGCTATTCCTTTCCAGAACATCAAAGTGTCCTCTGGTACAAGAAAGATAACAGAGGGTAAACAAGGGATGCTACATAGACTTATCTCTACAATGTATTAAATTCAAAATTATTTCAATTTGAAAGGATTCCTGGTCACGACATTTCTGGGAAGAGGGAAGAAGCTTTTGGAATAGTAGCTGTTTCTCTAAGTTGGTAACTAATTATTTGGCCTCTTTAGCAAACTGGGAACTTGGGATAATTGCCTCAGTTTGTCATGCCCACAATTTGTCATGGCTCTGGCCACAAGGAACAGGTACATTCCTCTACTAAATATATTAAATTAAATAGTAGATATTATTTAAATAATTTAATCTTAAAAGTAATAAAGATATTAAAGATATACTAAAAAAATAAAGATATACTTGCCTTAATCATATACTTAAAAAAAAAAAGTAAAACAGTTGAACAGGCAGTGTTATAAGCTCCCTGAAGTCAGAGGCTATATCTTTCCATTTACTTGCCTAGCATCTAGCAAGAGTATCAACTAAAAATAGGGAGCAATAAATATTTGTTAAATGAATAAATGAATGGAGGATGATGTGAAGCCTCTCCTGGTCCCCACTAAGTGAATCATCATTTATCACCATCTTCTACACCAGCTGCTACCTAATTTTTTCTTCTAACACTTGCAGCTTGGTTTGTCTAACAAATGTACCAAAGTTGGAGGCAGTATAAGAGGATGAAAAGCATGGACAACAGAGTCAAACTCAGCTGAATTCAGCTTTAATACTTATGGGTTATGTGCTGGAGTGGTATTAGGCAAGTTGTTGAAACTTTCTGAATCTCAATTTCTTCACGTGTAAATGTGACTTTGAAGGGCTGTTGCGTGGATTAAAGAGGTTTGCAGCTATAGTTAGTATTAATGTGTATGAGAAAAAACAGCAAAAGAATTTAGAGGTCTTTTGTATCCATAATCATAATGGTGATAAGTTCACAAAACCCCACAAGATGTCTGAGCACCAGAGAAAAGTACCTGAAATTTCCTCTGAGTCTTTCTTCACTCCCTCCTCTGTGGCCATGGTGACAGCAGCAGTGAGAGCTGAGTTCCATTCCAGCCCTGCTTCTTCCATGCTCTCTTCTGAGATAGCAATCTGTGTGATGTTACCTAAAAGCAGTCCATTAGAGGAAGGCCAGTGAATTTTATGAAAAAGTCATAGCTATCCTCCATCTCATATCCACAGCCAAAAGAGGCCCTGTTATTTTATTTAACATTCTGGATTTTTGCCTGAAGATCCCTATATTAAAAACTAGAACCCTAAGAAAGCCAGGATGAATGCTGGATTTTCTTAAAAAAAAACAAACAAACAAAAAACAAAAAACATGCCTTGCAAAAGAAAGTGTTTTCTTCTTACTCTGAATAGAAAGAGAAAGGTAACTTACAAAATCACAAAAGAGCAATCTGGCCCTGGCTGGTGTGGGTCAGTGGATTGAGTGCCAGCCTGAGAATGTAAAGATCACTGGTTCCATTCCCAATCAGGGCACATGCCTGGGTTGTGGGCCAGGTCCCCAGTTGGGGGCGTATGATAGGCAACTCACTGATGTATCTCTCACATATCAATGTTTCTTCCCCTTTCTTTCTCCTTCCCTTCCCCTATCTCTAAAAATATATATATATATTTTTTAAAAGAGCCATCTGCTTTTTGAGTAGGTATGTTTTTGAAGGAGACTGAAGGTGGGGATAACTGCCAGGCTACCTGCCCCAGACTTAGTGAAGATGAAAAGGACCAGTAATAATTTAAGAGAAAAGTATGGTGCTTAGCCAAGAGCCCTACTAAATACAGGCCTGTTTGATACTAACCACCTAGAATATCTGAATTTGCTATAACTTATCAGCCTATGTAAGAGAAAGCAGGAAAAATGAGACCCCAAAAATCAAATAAGGAGACCACCAATAGCAGATTCACAGAAGAAAAAACTTTTGCTGTCAACTGTAAACAAAGAGAATTGAAAAAAATCAAACTGATTGAGACAAAGACAAGTGTGAACACTACAAGCTGGGGGATTTCAATAATCAAGCAACGAAGTAGTATCAATATAAGTAATCAAAAACAAGTTTTGGACAAATAAAAAGGAAGTAAGCAATTTCACAGCATTTTTCACTTTTCAAGCGAAAGAGTCACATGAACAAAAATTCAAACTGCTAGATATTTTATACTTTCCTGAAAGGAGCATAGGTTCCAAAAGATTTGGCTTCTACTCACCCAGTTGTTATTTACAGAATATTAGGTCTGACCAAAAGAAACCCCAAGAAAGCATTTTTAAAGCACATTACTTCCCTTATATCCTTTATCATTTTTCCTATTCTGTAAGGCATATTTTTAAGTTTTCTCAAAGTGCCGATACATAGTCTAAGAATCTTTGCTGTACTAATTCTCCAACTGGACTAACTGAACCCTTAATAATCTCACATGGCTATATCTTTCCTAGAAATGGGCAGGAAGCCCTAGTCCCAGACTCAACAATACTGAAGTTAAGTGTCTGCCCATTCTGTCTTATTTGTGAGGAAGCCTCAGCTTGGTTATCTGGAACACTTCCAGACAGAGCTCTTTGATCCTTATAGCAGAGTCTCCAAAGTCCATCCCAGTCAAAGGTAAATTGTCTTTGGTACATCCCAGTTTATCAATTAAAAACCATTCACCATTCTAAACCAACTTCCTGCTTTGACCGCTAGTAGAGCAAAAGATTTTCAAAGCAATCTAATTTCAAAAATATGCCAAGTTGCACCCAAGCAAGATCATTGAGTATGCTCTATAGTTACTGAACCATCTTTCTAATGTTTACCGTGCATTGCAAGAAAGAAATAAGGAAGGTGGCTAATAGGAATCATTTGGGAGAAAACAAAGATCTGTTTTTAAAGCATGGAACCTCGCCCATGATTACTATATCTTTCAGGGACATCACCACTCATGAGAAGTACAATTAAGAAACACAAAGGAGAAATGAGGGGAAAGTGCTAGTGAAAAATACAGTGGGTTTTCAGGTGGTTTCCTACCCCCTACCATCGGCCGGAGTGGGTGTCTGCACCACACTTGTCTGCTGTCCTGGCACTGGAGCTCTTGCACTGCTGATAAGGAGATCAAATTTGGTGCTTCTGCAGGTATTGGAGCAAACTTTGTCATGTTGGTAAAAATCAATCTGTCCAGAGTCCATCATTTTCCTGCACAAAGGGAGACAAGAAGTACCAGTTCAGCCTACACTTCATCTAGAAGGAACTAGGCCTCAGGGACAAATAGAGACAAGTTGCTGAGTCTATTTTGTAGATTAGTGAAGCCTAATAGTTTTAAAAGTTATTAGGTTGCAAAAATTCTAATTGGGACTACAAAATTTTCATTGGTCCTGCCGACATTTACAAGTACTCTTCCTCCCTCCCTAGTCTACTCATGAATACTCTCTTTTTTATCCCGTTACCACTAAGCTTTAGCTACATACTCCTGACAATAGCTAAGTTTCCCCATAGACTCTTATTGAAACCAAACCCAAAAAGGGAAAAAAAACTACCTCATATCCCAGCACAACTAAGAAATGCCACAAAGGAATTAGAATTTTGTGATGTGATTCTGATGTCTTAGTATTCCTAGACCATCAAGATCTATTGTAACTTCTGGAGACATAAAACTTCTTTCCTTAAAAAAAAAAAATTGATAACAACTCTCCTATAAACATAGAGCAAGGCTGATTATACTAAACCTCCACTATAAAATGAACTTAAAATTGGATTCACAGGATATTGTTATGATGGACCATGGGCAAAACCATGCAGTATTTTAATTATAGTAAACTGTGTTATATTGTTATTTGTCTTTCACTAAATATGTTTGTAGGTATTCTTGTTCCATTTTAAATTTGAGGAAAGTTGGTATATGCTTATTTTTCTGGCAAATAAAATAGGCCAAGAACAACAAAAATAAAAGTTAAAGGTATTCCTCCCCAATTTCATTCAACTACTGATTTCTACATATGAATCACCTGGAATAAATTTTTTAAATTATGTGTCTCTGACTATAAAGATAATATGTGGTGAAAAAAATTAATATTTTTTTTGTGAAAAATACAGAAAACTATAAAGAAAACTGCGCCTTTAAAAAAAGCCTACAACACAGAGATAACATCAACATTTTGGCATATTTTCTTCCTTTTTTCTTTTTTTAAGATTTTATTTTATTTTTAGAAAGAGGGGAAGATAGGAGGAAGAGAGGGAAACACTGATGTCAGAAAAAAACATCCTTTGGCCGCTTCTCATACGTACCCCAACCTGGGACTGATGCTGCAACCCAGGCATGTGCCCTAACTCAGAATAGAACTGGTGACCTTTTGGTGTGCAGGTTGATGCCCAACTGAACCACACTAGTCAGGGCTGGCACATTTTCATATACTAAATTTCACGTACATACGTACGTACATATGTGTGTGTGTGTGCGCATGCTTGAATATTTTATGTTTTTAAAGATATCATGTATTTATTTTTAGAGAGAGAGGAAAGAAGGGAGAAAGAGAAGGAGAGAAACATCAATGTGCGAGAAAAACATAGATTGGTTGCCACTTGCACACCCCCAACCAGGGACCAGTCCTGCAACTTAGGCATGTCCCCTAGCTGGGAATTGAATTGCAACCCTTCGGTTCACAGGCCAGCACTCAATCCACTGAACCACACCAGCCAGGGCGGCTTGTGCATTTTAACACAAGTAAAATCACACTGTTTAATTGATTTAACAGTGTGATTTAACAGTTTGATTAAATAGAAAATTTTTGTTTTCTTTCTTGTATCACATCATCATCATTTTTTCATGTAAAAACTCTCTAGAAATATTTTAATTACTGCATTATATCCCATAGTATATACTCACGTATATTTAGATGAGCCATAATTTACTTCAGTATACCTTGACTGTATATTAGACTAAATTTTCATCATAAATAACGTTGTAATCAACATATTTATGCTTGAATCTCTACAAGCACTATACATTTTTCTTAAGACAGATTCCTTAAAAAGAATTGAAGACAGCCCTAGCTGGTGTGGCTCAGTGGGTTGAGTGTCAGCCTGCGGACTGAGAGGTCATAGGTTCGGTTCCCAGTCAGGGCACATGCCTGGGTTGCATGCCAGGTCCCTGGGTGGGGGCATACAAGAGGCAACAGATCAGTGCACCTTTCACACAACGATATTTCTCTCCCTTTCCTTCTCCCTCCCCTCCCCTCTCTCTAAAAATAAATAAATCTTTTTTAAAAAGAAAGAAATGAAGACAAAGGGTAAGAATCTTTTTGTTGTTTTTTTTTTTAAGATTTTATTTACTTATTTTTAGACAGAGGGGAAAAGAGGGAAAGAAACATCAATGTGTGATTGCCTCTTGCCTGCCTCTTACTGGAGACCTGGCCTGCAGCCCAGGCATGTGCCCTAACTGGGAATCGAACTGGTGACCCTTTGGTTTGCAGGCCAGCACTTAATCCACTGAGCCACACCAGGCAGGGCAGGATAAGATGTTTTTGAGGCTCTCAAAACATGTTCTTTGTGGAACTTTTAATTCCTCACCACATTTAAAAATTTTATATACCTGACCAGTGTGGCTCAGTTGGTAGGGCATCATCCCACAAAGCAAAAGGTCACCAGTTTGATTCCTGGTAATGGCACATGCCTCACTTGCGGGTTCAGTTCCCTGTTGGGCTGTGTATGAGAGGCAACCCACTGATGTTTCTCTCACATCGACATTTCTCTCCCTCATTTTTCTCCTTCCCTTCCCCTCTCTCTTTAAAAAACAAAAACAAAAACAAAAAAACACCTCAGAAGTTTTCTATCAATTGGCGAGTGCTCAAAGAATGAGTACTAATTTAATCAACTAATGTTAATTTTCAGAGGGAAAAAATTACAATAGTAAATACAATAGTAAACTTGCTGCATAAAGAGAGAGAGTTGAGGATATTATACATTCTGAATTTTATTTCTGTGGTAGAGTGATAGCAAGGATTGCATTTACTGTGCATCATTGATACTTTCCCTAACAGGGACCTTATACTTTTACCAGATTATCCCAGGATTTGTCAGTCAGCCTACACTTCTCTGTGGCTGTCATGCTTCCTCAGCACCAGGCTTAGGTCTTCCTATGCTTGGTGATCTCAAGCAGGACTATCATCTGCTCTCAAGTTTCTCTGCCCAGAGAGGATCCTACCCAACATCCTAACATCAGAAACATTTGCCCTAGATGCTGGGAAGAGTGAAATTTGACTCACTCTTCTTTCTCTCAGAGTTTTTTAAAGGACAAGTTAATTAAGGCCAACTAATACATAAATTTCTTAGGCTAATCCTTCAGATAGAATATAATTTTCAAATTAAAGAAAAAAGACTGAATTCTCTGGATTCTACCATGATTAAGTGCCCCAAAGTCAGTTGAAAGGTATGTTCTTAGTATCAGAGCTCACCTGAGCATAATTCCACCCAAACGAATGGCTCTCTTCCAGTCCTTTAGGGTGGACTTGCCAGCCAGATGAACAAAATGCTTGGGGCTGATCAACTGATCATTGAACTAAAGTAAAAAGAAAAGTCCAAAATAATCTAATGTCAATTTAGGCAGGCAGAGGGAAACAAAGAGATAACTCTACTTGTTATATACAAAAAATACCCAGATGACATCTTAAGTCATAGCCTTTTATTATCCAGCCTCTTGCCCTATTGTGCCAGAGAACATGATCCTTCTCTGAGCACAGTGCCCTATCCTGATACAAAGCTACATATGACATGGGGAAGATCAGAGATTATATACTAATTAGCATTTAAAATCCATTTATGCTCTGAATCAGGTGGTTGGATCCAATGTTACAAAGGCTGTTTAAATAAACTGAAGTAATGTATCCAGTCTTAATGATAAGTTTCAGGATGTGGTAGAAGGAATAAATACAGTAAGAACCAATAACACTGCAGAGCGTCAAAACTACATAATCTTTACTGATTCTAGGATGATGCCACTGATGGTGACTACTATCTATGGCTATAGCTGTGGTTAACAATAGGGACATATATGATTATTCATATTTTAATATATGAGGTTCTTAAAGATTGAATAACTTGCTCAAGGTCACCTACCTAACCAGTAACAAAGATGGGACTCCATTCATTCATTCAACGAGTATTTTTTGATAAATATACCAACTACCATTCTAAGTGCTGGAGATATACTGGTGAACAAAATATACAGGTTCTCAGCTCTCATGAAATTTGTATTCTGGTGGGACTTGAATCCAGGTCAGTTTCACTCCAAAGCTGTTTTTGTCTACTATGATGCAATAGGACTATAGCCACAAAATTAAGATTATTGATACGGTGGAAGAAAAAGAAGAGGCAATGAAATCATGCCCTTTGAAAACAAGGAATCCCAAAATAGGTTCCAGTAAGGAAAAAGACATTTACCTTGACACACTTCACATTTATTCCAGGACATACAAACTTCTTCCACAGAAGAATGGCTTTGCTCTCCCCACAAGTTATGGGGTAGGCAATTTCCATGTCCTCATTTGCTTCTATAGTACTTGTATCTAAAAATAAAAAAATAAAAAAATTAAAAAAAAAAAAACCAGTTATTTATCAAACACTCTTCACCAAAGATTAATTCAAATGTCTTTGTCTCCTGGTTTCTCTCAAAGGCTAACAGTTTACACTGGCTGATATTGTTTAGAAATCCTCTGGAAGAAGTTAGGCATGATACCGCTTTTACTAAGCTCCCACTATGCATCAGACACTGTGCTATATGCTTTGATGTGCTTAATCTTATTTTATTCTTGTAATAATCCTGGGAGGCAGTGACTGTTTTCTACGTTTTATATATTGAATGTGGGACTCCAAAAGTTAAAGGCACACCCCCCGAGGGCACATAGCTAAGTGGGAAAGTAGGCTTTAAACTCGGGTTTATTTAATTTCAGAGTTTCTTTCCACTGACTGCCTTCCAGTGAACACCACATCACTCTTCATCAAAAACTTTCCTAATGACAACAATCAACCCTGAGGCTCTAATTTCTTCGTGGGACTTTTATAGATGAAAAATCTTTTCATCAACCCTAGCAAATTGATGTTAAACAACCAACTGACAGCCCTGGCACCTTAGTCAGGGGTGTCTCTAGATGTGCCATCATCAAATTGATGGTTGCAGTATTGATAGGGCACACTAGGTAGGGTGAAAAAGGCACAAAGGCAAGAAATTCCAACTAAGGAAACTAACTAAAGTCAAATGTACCAGAGTATCAAAAAACTTACCAATCCCTTCTTCAATTTTGTGTATTGTGTGAGTTTCTACTGCCACAACTGCCGTATTGTTCTCAGACCCGGCTTCATAAATCCTGTTGTAAAAGTGTCCATCGATAAACAAACTACATAAATCATGAAAAAATTAATATTCACAGCAGGGGGGTTAAGAATTATTTTAATTTATCTTAAAAGGAACAAAATAAATATACTTCACAACTGTATGTTAGTGCTTTGACTAGTTCCCAATTACTTTTAATCTCTAAGCTACCCATAACTGCTTAACAGCTACTACCATGGAAATGAATTAATAACTTTCCTCACCTCAATGCAAAGTTCCTCTTGCTACTGTATTTTACATCAGACTTTTCCCTTCATAACTTTAAAAGTTCATGACATAAAGTATTCCTTCAAGTATAAGATTAAGTCATATTATAGAATTACCTTAACAAGACTGAAAAGTAATACTGCTGGGCAGTTCAAGACAAGAAGCAATTTATGACCACAGAAGTTGATAACCCTTGTTGGAATCTAGGCACTAAAGCATTTTTAAGCACTTCAGCATTTTTTAATTTTTCACTTTTTAATCCTTACCCAAGGATATGCTCATTTTAGAGAGAGAGAGATGGAGAAAGAGTGAGAGAAAAAGAGGAAAACATCAACGTGAGAGAGAAACATTGATCAGCCACCTCCCACACACACCCTGACCAGGGATTAAACCCACAGTCCAGGTACACACCCTGACTGGGAATCAAACCTGCAAACCTTTTGGTGTGTGGGACAACACCCCAACCACAAGGCCAGGGCAAGCACTTCAGTATTTAAAAATATTTTTTAAAATTTATTGATTCTATAGAGAGAGAAGACGGGAGAGAGTAAGAGAGAGAGGGAAACATGGATGTGAGAAAAACATCAATTGGCTGCCTCCCATAAGCACCCCAACTGGGGATCAAACCCACAACCCAGGCATGTGCCCTGACCAGGAATCAAAACTGCAACCTTTCAGTTTATAGGATGATATTCCAACCAACTGAGCTACACCAGCCAGGACTTTAAGTACTTTTTTCTTTTTATTATTTTTTAAAAATTTTCTATTACATTGATATACATTATGATATAGCATTTTTTAAGGCACCATAACCAAACTATTGACATGAATGGAACTTACTAAAAAAAATAAGAGATAGACTATGCCCAAAGTAACTAGCAGTAACTAGAGGTACCACTTAAGGAAGTGTCTCTAAAATGTTTCCACCTTCTGAGAAATGTGCTCGGATAACCTAACATGATACAATGATGTCCTTTAATTCCTATAATAATCCTAATGTGTTCATTATTGCATCTTGTTATTTGAAAGCACTGCCTGAATAATCTCCCTTGCATCAGTGATTATCCACCCCCATATGACACCTCTAGCACAGACCTCCCTTCTGAATTTCATACCAGGACAGTTAACTGCTAAATAAATAGAGACATTTGGATGCCCCCGTAGTACACTGTTCAATTCATTATGTCTAAGATAAGAAAGTTCTCTTCCCTTTCTTAACTCCCAAACTACTCTTCTTCCTATATTTTCCATCCTTGTTGATGGCACCACCCAGAATACTGAAGCCTAAGACAGAAACCTGGGAATTATACTAGACTCCCAACCTTGGTGTATTGGGATGATGCTTGATGCTCGAACAAACTGAGCTACACGGCCAGCGTCTATTTCTTGCCTTTTGGATATAATCTTTACCAGTATAGTCCCAACAATTCATGCAAGTTCTTTGATTGTTTCTTTCCTTCATATTTGAACCTGAAGCCAGTTAGGTTAAGTGTGACTGAGGCTCAAGACTGACACCTGATGCTTTCCATCTTTGTCCCAAGTGTATTAAACTTATGGGACCTAGCTCTGGCTGGGTAGCTCAGTTGGTTAGGGTGTTGTCCTAATACGCCAAGGTTGCAAGTTTGATCCCCAATCAGAGCACATACAAGAATCAACCACAGAAAGAAGAACTACTAAACTTCTCGACAGCATGGATGAAACTAGAGCATTATGCTAAGCGAAATAAGCCAGGGGGCGAAAGACAAATACCATATGAACTCACCTATAAGCAGAACTTAACCAACAAAAGAAAGAGGCAAGGAAAATAGGACCAGCAACACCGAAAGAAGAAGAAACCAACAGAGACAAGAGGGAAGGAGGGGAGGGTGGGCAGGGGAAAAGGAAGGGAAGGGGCAAGTCAAGGAACATATAGCAAGGACTCCTGTACAAAACCGAAGTGGGGAAGGATTGAGGGAGGGAGACGGAGGAGGGGGCAGGGGAGAGTGGTGGGAAGGCAGAGACAAATGTAGTTGGAAAAATAAATTAATTAATTAAGAAAAAAGAATCAACCAAAGCATGCATAAAAAGTAGAACAACAAATTGATGTCTCTCTTTGTCTCTGTCTCTCTCTCCTCTTCTCTAAATAAATAAAATAAACTTGTAAGACCTGTACTTCACTAGTATCAGAGTTTTTGTTCCCTGCTCATTTTTATAAAATGAGAAATAAAATATTCAAATAATTAAAAAGTAATTAGAGATATCAACTGAGCACCAATTGGCAGCCACCTCAAAATGCAGTACTTCAAAATGTTCATTCATGAGCTTATATACTAAATTCAACGTAAACAGTGGACTGGGGAGTTAATATATGTTGTACAAAGATGCCTATCTTTGATCAAGCAATGAGAGGTTTCCAGAAAAGGCAATATCATTTGGAAAGTAAGAGACAGGCAAAAGAAAAACAAGTGGAACTAAATCTTCAAAAAAATTAATTCTCTAAGCAACAGAGCTTTTTCTGTCTTTGGTAGGGATAAGACAACTGAGAACTGGAGTACTTTTTTTAAAAAATTTTTATTTTTATAAGAATTTATTGGAGCCAAATTGACAACATGCTGGGGAGCAAGATCTCAAAAGATCCCTGGAGCACTTTGGAAAGGTAGCAGAAATAATGAAAAAGTTAATGAAAAATTTAAATCACTCTATCAACTCTATGTCAGGACTTATCATATATCACCTTTCCCTTAAAGATCTTAGAATATTTCCTCATGCTTAACAATATTCAGAAATGTGAGCAAACTGTGGTTATATTTTTAAAACTAAAAAGTCCTTATCTTAGAGATACATACTAATGTCTGGGATTTGCTTCAAAAAAATTCAGGAGTAGGTGGATGTAGAGAGGAAATAAGATTGGCCATGGGCTGATAATTGTTGAAACTGGCTGATGGGTGCTTACATTATAATTTTCTTTATTTTTGTGTAAATTTGAAACTTTCTATGCTAAAATGTTTTTAAAATTACCAAGAAAGTTGATTGTGTTTCTCCAGAGGTGTTTAAGACAAGGTACATCATTTAGTAGATTGGGATTTGATTATATATTTGCCCAAGAACATTTCTAATCATATGAAAACTCTTTGATACATTCCCCGAGATAAAAAAACTATCCCTCCTTTCTCTTTGTAGATGTAATTCTTATTTAACCTTCAAGACCACAGACCAGTTTTTAAAACTTATCTCTTTTTTCAAATTCATAGTGATCACCTGAACTGAGAACACTTCCTAACCATATCATTCAGCACTTGTTAGATTTTGCCATTTAAGTGATCTCTCTCTCTCTCTCTCTCTACACAGACACACACGCACACACATTTTTTCAGTTTGCACAGCTAGACTGCAAGTTCCATGATAATGGGAACCATGGGCTATATTTCTTCCAACATCTTTATAATACATTGTATAATAGTAGGTAGTTTATATATTATTTTTGATAGACTAGGGTTGATCATTTTTCCACCCATGACATTCCAGAGAGCTTCCTATAGGAATACTTTTATAGTTGCCTTGCCTAATCTCACCTACCTCTAAATATACTGTCTTCTGACACATACCAAGACTCCGTGCTAAATAGTGTGGATAAATAAAATGAGGGAACCATGTAACTTATGCTCAAGGAACTCACAATGAAGAAGAGAAGATATAAGGAAACAGCTAATTGTTGTAATAAGTATTGAAATGACCAATATAGCACTCAACACATTGTTATAGAGATGAAAACTTGGCCAGCTCTGAGACTAATGTTGAGTGTTCCATTGTGATAAGCAACCATAAAGTTTTAATTTCCTCACTCTTTAAACCTCCTAAGTTTTCCAGAATATCCATATTTTTAGTCACTTACCCTTGTTGCACAGGCTGTAACTGCAATATCACTTGGGTTTTAGTGTCTTCAGGGTTCTCCCCTTCATTTCCTTCAGTGGGTACCACAACCACATCCCCCACTGGGACACTCACTTCCGCATTAGCCATCTTTCACATGAAGTCAGATAGCTGAAGCTGCTGTCAGAAACAAGAAGCACCAGTAACTTAATCTGGTTTAAAAAGATGGCAACCATAGGAGAGGAACACCAGGTAATAACTACCAAATCCAAAGGCACCCTGGAGATTATGGCCCTCTGAAAAGGATGGGAATGTGACATGGGGCTAAAAAAAGGGTCTGATCTTTCCAGAAATGCCTCAGTATTCACTTGCTATTGTTGGTTTTCTTAGTATGAGTAATTCATCCAGTGTTGTGCTCTACCAGCTCTTGAAAACCAATTGTGCATGTCACTTCCCAGCTCCAAGTTTAGTGACATCAAGTTGCTAGCTTAAAATCATTGATGCTGGGAGTATATACACCACAGAAATTAGCAAGCACTACAAATCAGGGTATATTTTTCCCTAGAGAGCGGGTTTACAGCATACCACTAGTTCCAGCCCAAAGAGTGAGCTCCTAGAAAGTAGGAACCCATTTTCTTTGCAATCAGCCATTGCATCTCATCAACTGCTTAGTCCTTTGTGAGTACTTAATAAGTACCTGCTGACTAACTGAACTCAGCTGATTGGGAAGAAAAAGGTGACTTGCACTGTGTAGTTGTTTAATAAATGCTGAATCCAATTGTATGACCTTTAGAACTTCTTTTTAAAAGATTTTATTTACTTTTAGAACGAGGGGAAGAGAGAGAGAAAGAGAAGGAAAGAAACATCAATGTGTGGTTGCCTCTCACGAGCCCCCTACCAGGGACCTGGCCTGCAACCCAGGCATGTGCCTGACTGGGAATCAAACCAATGACCCTTTGGTTCATAGGCTGGTGCTCAATCCACTGAGCCACACCAGCCAGGAATGACCTCTAGAATTTCTTAATCCCTTTCTACTTCAGACTGAATGGAGAAATGATCTTACTTGACATCTCCCTTGCAAAGCTGGTGAGGAAACTAGTGTCCAGCACCACATGCTCCTCAACTCTAAAGTAACTCAAAGCATTGTCCCAATCTTAATGAAAACTCAGAGAGCCACAGGATATTCTGCAGTGTTAAACCTTCACAATTGAAAAGGAAGGAGAGAGTCACTAAAGAGCAGAAATAACAGCACTATATTTACTTAGATATGAATGTGAAAATGACTAGGCCTATGCTGAATGGAATGGAATAGGCACACAACGGATGCAAGTTTGAATATGTAACTGGTAGTCAGATGACTGAAACTGTATCTCAGCTCTGCCACAGCACTTGTTTGCCTATAATACATATCTTTAAGCATAGCACTCAGCCTCCCTATTTGGCCCCAAAATACTTTTCCAGTCTTATCTGTAACTACAATACCCCAAGAATCTAAAACTCCAGCCATACCCACCACCCATTGTATTCTGAACATATAAAATGTACTTTCAGGTTTCTGTATGTTGTTATTCCTTAAGCCTAAATAACTCCTTTCCCCCTCATCTCCTCCCTTCAGGCCCAGCTCAAAGCCCACTCGTCCACATAGCCATTGCCAAACCATTTACGATTTTCTTTTCTTTTAAGATTTTATTTATTTATTTTTAGAGAGGGGAAGAGAGGGAGAAAGAGAGGGACAAAAACATCAACGTGTGGTTGCCTTTCACGCGCCTACTGCTGGGGACCTGGCCTGCAACCCAGGCATGTGCCCTACACTGGGAACCTAACCGGCAACCTTTTGGTTCGCAGGCTGGCATTCAGTCCACTGAGCCACACCAGCTAGGGCCCACTTACGATTTTCTTTTCTGCAGTACCTCATTACTTCGTTTGTAGCTGTCCTCCAGTGTTTTATAACTCTGTGCCCTGTATTGTAGTTAATTGAACAGATATCTATCCTTATTACTACACTGTACTCTACATCAGGACAATTGGCGCTTATCCAAAAATCTTACCTGTCACAGGCCTGCTTATCATAGGCACTTACATAGCTTAGTTCAATTTTTCTACTTGACCTACTGAAAATTCCTCATGTCTGACTTATACTTCTGCCCTTTATGATTCTCATAATCTTCGTACCTGAATTTACACTTTCTATATCCAAGAGTCTCTTAAAATATGTTGTAGGCACCTTAAATGGAACTCATGTTCCCTCTCAAACTTGCTCCTATTTCCTGCCTCAGCAAATGGCGCTAGCCTCCACATATTTTCTCAAGCCAGAAATGGAGTTATATTTTTTTTTAAAGATTTTATTTATTTTTTTAGTGAGAGTAAGGAACGGAGAGAGGGACAGAAACATCAATGTTAGAGAGAAACATTAACCCATTGCCTTTCGTACATGCACCACCCAGGGACCAAACCTGCAACCGAAGTGTGTGCCCTGACCAGGAATCCAATGGGTGACCTTTCGGTTTGGGATGACACCCAACTGAGCCACGCCAGTCAGGGAAGAAGTTATTTTTTACCCATTTTTTCTCTTTCTAAAGCCAATCAACAACCAAATCCTATCCATTCTATCACCTATGCATCTCTTTTAACCATCTCCCATTCTCCATCTGTGCTGTCACCACCATATTCTGAGCCACCAGTTACCTGGACTTTTCCAGGTGTGCCTCATCAGTATCCTAAACTCTGGTCTTGCTCTCCAATTCATTATCTACAAAGCAATCTCACTAAAGGCCACAAGCCATTTCCGTTTAAAAATCCTTCAGTAGATTACCTTTGCTGTTAGAATAACATGCACACACCTTAACATGGCTTACAAAATCCTCCAAATCTGTCCTCTGCCCCTCCTGCTAGCCTCATTTCTCATAGTTCTTCCTCTCACAATGTGGGGTCCTATCATTGAATTTTTCCCAATTTCTCAAACATACCACATTTTCTCACCTGAGCCTTCACACTTATTTCCTCTGCCTAAAATCTCTTTTTCTTCCTCTTGGGCTAGTAAATTTTCGTGACTTTTTTAATACATCACTTCCTTGGGAAGGCTTTTGATAACTTCCTTGACTAGATTTGAGCATGTGTCCTTGTTCCCTCAGTTTCTGCAGCACCCTTATCACTACCATCATCCAATTTTGTCAGCCTCTCCCCACCAGGCAACATCCTGGGATAGCAAGGATTGCTTTTCTTTGTCAACAGCTTCCCTGTGCCTAGCTTACTGCCCAGGACACAGGAGTATAATAGCTTTCAAATATCAGACTTCTATCTAAAACTTTCTAAGAAAATCTGGCACATAGCAGATGTGTAATAAATTTTTGTGTAATGAATGATTCAGCTTACCCTTAAGACTTGTAGAATTTTCTACATTTCTAACTTAGGGGATATAAATTTGCTTAGGTAGATAGGCTAAGTTGCCTGGCTTATTGCCCATCAGTATGGCTAGTTCAACAAATATATCCATATCTGGCAGAGTTAGGATCCTTGGATATGAAAAGGGACAGTATCTGCTCTTAAGGAACTACAAAAGGGAAAGAGATGCATGACACTGTCACATACTAGAGGAAAAAACTGCAAGATAAAACAGTACACAATTCAAACTTCTGTAAATTAAAGGTTTAAAACTAGAAAGAAAAAATAAGAGAATCACGTGTATAAAGGACCGAAGGACAAGGACGACTAGGTGGGAATTGACTGAGAATGGGGCGGGGGGCGGGGGGGGGCCAGGCAGGGGAGAGCAATGTAAGGAAAAATTGGGACAACTGTAATTGCACAACAGAAAAAAAAGAGAATCAAATGGACTGGTTTGGCTGGCTTCTGGCACTAGAATAAAAAAAATTAGGTCTCGTGGTCCAGAAAAAGCCAAAAAGGGATATGATGAAGCATACATATACCACTGAGTCCTTAAATAATTGAACCAATAGATATCTTTAAACTATAAAAATGTAGGATAAATTAAAATAATCAAAACTAGTATATGTTGGACACGTTTTTTTCCCAAGCACTATTCTCTTACTATTACATATTTAATAAATTTAAAAGATTTAATACCTGCCCTGACTAGTGTGGTTTGGTGGATTGGGCATCGCCTGCAAATTGAAAGGTCATCAGTTCAGTTTCTGGTCAGGACACTTGCCTGGGTTGCAGGCCAGGCCCCTGGTTGAGAGCTTGGGGGCCTGTGAGAGGCAACCTATCCATGTTTCTCTCACACATCGATATTTCTCTCCCTCTCCCCCTCCCCTCTCTTTAAAAGTAAATAAAATCTTTTTTAAAAGATGTAATAACTTAGCATGTATCAAACTTACAGAATTTATTATCCCAAAAGGGGGTTTAAATGTTTAAAAATTAATAGTTTAGGTGAATTAACAAGTTAGAGAAGCAGAATTAGAAAGATGCTTCTAGTTTCAACCTTCTACTCTATGATTTGAGTCCTCTCTACAACACTCTGAATAAGTGGCTGACTAACACCTTGATTAATACTTTCCTCAATAGAAACTCATTTTATTCCTCAACCCTCCCACATCTTGGCACCCAAGAGGAATGTTCTGGCTGCTTCTCTAACTTTCTGAGAGTTTATCAAAGAGGATAATTATAATTATCCACAATATGTCTCTCAGTGTCAGGAGACACAGGTCTGATTCAATCAACATGGAGAAGAATGCCACGTTGACATTCTTTAGAGAAGCCAGTTTGGGTTGAATCTCTTATTACCCTAAATACCATATTCCTAGCAAGTAACCCAAAACCACCTCTTCAGACTACACTGGCTAACTGCAAGGTCATCTCTTTGAGCTGAGTGTAAACTGAAAAGTGGCTCTTGTTTATATCAACAAAAACTCCTGAGGCAAGAGAGTTAGTTGATCCTTCGGGTATTTTTATGGAAAGGGCCTTAGAGTATTCATCGTGGAATCACACAACACTCCATGTAATTCTAAGGGAATACACATAAAAGAGATATCAAATTTATATAAAAAGTTAAAATAATTTTGTAGTTACTTTCAAAGACAAAAAAAGAAGACACCTTGAAAGCAAATTAATGACTGTTTACAAAGTCTATTGGAAAACTAAAGAAATGGTATCTGACCTACTCTGGATTAAATTCATTTTTTGGTCCTAAAAACTAATACTGAAAACAAGGCAAAGTATAAGCATGAGTGTCACATGATCATGGGGACATGATAGTTGGTAGCTGATAAGGAATAACAAAAATACCAGATATCCTGCCCTGGCCAGGTAGCTCAGGTGGTTGGAGCATCGTCCCGTCCCGATACACCAAGGTTGAGGGGTTGGATCCTCAGGGCACAAAGAGTCAACCAATGAATGCATAAGTAAGTGGAAGAAAAAATAATCGGTATTTCTCTCCCCCTACTCCCTTGCTTCCTCTCTCTCCAATGTTTTTAAAAAAACCAACAAAATATCCTGAAATTTTCTAATCCCAAAATGTACTTGTGTATTGCACACTGTAGTGTAATTTTTGTAGACTGTGTAGTCTATTGTTAACAAATTTCCAAGTTAAAACTTGAGGCCAAAACTCCTTTTTTTCTTCCTTCTTTATTCCTTCACATGTATTTAGTAGGTGATCCAGAGAACTGCCAGGTGTGATTGAAACCAACAAGAAGACTACACAGGACCACTGTGAGCGAAACAGCCAGAGCAAATGAAGTTCAGGATAAGTCACTATTGCAGATCACTAGGCAGAAGTTTGGGGAAGCAACAGAGTAAAAGCATTCTTTAAAGAGTCATCCTACTAGAATCTAGGGGACTTCTGCTTAGGACAAGACCAAAATAGCTCCCAAACTAAAGCAAGGAAGTTGTGTACAAGTTCGCTATTGGATGTTTCTTGAAGTAAATATAAATGGTTGATTAATGAAATAGTCATCACGTCAGTAGACATTAAATACACATAACAGATAAAAGGTTAATTAGGGGACTGTCCAAACATTGAATGAAAAAGTCCCCCCAAAAGCACCCCAGTAACCATTAGCAGCCGCAAGGGGTGGGGGAGGGGGGAAGAATCCCTCTGAGAAGACTAGAATTATCTGCTCATCCCTTTCTCTAATCTTCCAAGTTGAGAAAACCCCACTTCCTGGTTCTCCTAAACATACCCCAATCAAAGCTCCTTTTGTACCTGCTATATAAAGTGGTTTTGAGATTTCTCTCATCTCGAGAGGGTTAATTCATCTTCCTCTGAACACACCTTAATCTGGTGGATTACTCTCCAGGACGCCTCACATCAGATTCTCCCCTCGTCTACCCAGCCCCTCAATTAGAAGACACCTGGTCAACAACCCCTGACATTTCAGAGATTAAGGGTACTCTAAGCTTCCTCCCCTCAAATATTTTCTCTCCAGTCCTCAGAAACTTTGGTGTCCCCACCTCTGACACATCAGATTACCTTGTTGTTAGGTTTTCATAATCTCTCATTTCCTCACAGATTTGGACCTCTCTTATTCCTACTTCAGGAGGCTCTGAGGTGTGTTCCCACCGCCCCCTCATCTATAGGAAGGCAGGAGCCTGCTTGCTTTCCTTGGAGATCTTCTCCCTTGTCCCCTGCTCCCACCACCCAAACCTGTCGCCACGCCTTTGGAAAAGCCCCTGCCTCTTTTCCCTGGACCCAAAGTCCGAGGCCTCTAACGCACCCCTGAGGTGAAGCTTGGACCCTCCTTTCCTCAGCAGAACCCACTCTCTCCTCTCTCTCCCGCCAAGGCTCCGAGGGTCTCCTCCCGGGTCGGCATCCAGCCTTCCCTCACCTTTCGCCCCCTCCCGCACCGTCCCCCAACCCAGCGCGGCCCAGGCCTCGCCTCAGCTCCTCATTGAAGGGCCTGGCACTCCCCAGACCCCGCCTCTGGGGATACCCCATGATCCCCGGACCCCTCGCCAGGGTCCTGGGCATCGGGGCGTCCTCAGTCAGGAGTCGCTCCTGCCCCTCCTGGCCCCTCAGACGAGGACTTCCGGGCCCCTCAGCCCGGGGGCGCCGGGGCCCCCCAGTGCTAGGCTCGCTGGCCCCCGCCGCCCTCGGTCGGGGGCCGAGCTCGGGAGGCGCAGCCGGCCGCGCTGGGGGCGGCCCGGCTGCTCGGGCGGACCCAGCGGCAGCGTCCCCCCACCCCCCCCGCGGCGCCGCGACGTCCGCTCGCTCCCCGGCGGCGGCGGCGGCACGCACAGGGCGTGGGGAGGCGCCCGCGGAGGCAGCAGCCCCCCGCCCCCTGTGCGCCCGCCCGCCCTCGCCGGCCGCCGCGCGGCCCCCGCGTCCGCCCCCCCGCCCCCACCCCACCCCGCGCCCGCGCCCGCGCGCCCACCCCTCCCCCTCCTCACCGTCTCCGTCGGGCGGGCGGGCGGCGAGCGGCCAGGGCGGGCGGGCGACGGAGCATGCGCAGAGGCCGCCACGGCTGCTACCGCCACCGCCGCCGCCAGGCCGGACTTCAACACTTCCGGCCGCCGCCTCTGGCGAGCTGGCGCCTTAAAGGGGACGCGTCCTTATTGCCGAGCCCGCGGAGGATGAAGCTCAACCGGAGGGATTTGAGTGAACATTTACCTGAGTAGGGGTCTTCTGCTCTGGAATGTCAGTGTTGGGAAGGACTCTAGAGACCGTAATAACTCTTCTCCCTTTATTTCATGGATGAGGAAGTGAGGCCTAAATTAATGAATCACCTCATTCACAATCGCGGGCAAAGGCAGGTCTCTCGACTTTTCCGGAGGACTCTGCCCCCTTTACATTCCAAATCCTGTTTTCTAAAGCTTACATCTTGCTAGACCTCCAAAAGTTATGAACCAACTATCAATTTGGAATCAGACCTGGTTGAATATAGAGCAGTAGCTGGTCACCGAGTTGCTTGCATTCTCTGACCGTGCATGTTTGATAAGCTTTCCTGGTTGTGAGGTTCTAGGTTCAAGTGTTAACTTCTTTGTGGGAGTTACTTGACAGCTCTAAACCTGTAGTACACGTAAGGCATAAGGCTGTTGTGAGTTTTAAAAGAGATGATACATGAAAAATGATCAGGAAAATACCTGGGGCCAGTAATAATAATTAGCAAGTATTAATACCTTTCTATATGGCCAGGTCTTGGGAGTAGATGGTTTTTGTCTCATAATCCTCATGGAAACTCTACTAAGTAGCTGCTTTTCATTCAGTTTTACAGATAAAAAGGAAACCAAAAGAAGTTAACTAATCCTTCAAAGTCATATAATCTCTAAGTGGCACAAAAAGGATTTAAATTTAGGCCCTTTGTTTCTCCAGAATCCATGTTTATAACCACTGAGATGGTTGCAGTGGTCATAAGAACAAATGAGGTGATCATGTGCAGACACTTTTTTGAGGGGGAAGAATTGCTTCCCCATTTTGCCTCATGTGAATCATATCCCTGCTATCTATCTCCTCTGTCTTGGGGTGACAGGGAGTTTTACAAGTTCTTGATTCAAGGGCAAGTGAGGCAGCCCAGGAGTAAACAATAGAACTGAATTGAGGGTGGGGGGAGTCAGACAAGCTGGATTTTAGGCTTGGCTTTAGCAGCTGTGGATATCTTGGCCCAATCACACCTCCCTTAAGCCTTGATTTCTTCACCTGTAAAATAGAGACGATTTTCCCACTGATCCCACATCTCAGGGCTGTTTCCAGAATCGAATGAGGAGACTTAGTACCCATGTTAATGTCTGTTATGATCAAGGACTCACAATAGTAGATGATTCTGAATATAATGGGGCCTGGTCATGACTGGACTCTGCCCATGTGAATTGTTCCTTTATATCTTTTGATCATGCACTGAACATTTACCCAAACCTTGTCCTTGCCTTTCCTAAGCTCTTAGTCCACCTTATGCAGAGACAGAATTGTACACTTACAGGACAGTACTGTGTGAGAGGTGTTATCCTAGGGTTATAAACAAAAGGAGGTTTAAGCCCATTCTGACTGCACTGCTAACATTCAGCCCCAGCACACAGGACTTGCTTGGACCGCTACAGTAGTTTCCCAGTACTCAGCAACCCTATCCACCCCACCCCCAAATGCCATTCACCTTAGGGACCTAGAGTAATCTCTGAGATGAGGTTAAATGTGACTTCCTTGTTAAAAGTCCTTTAGTAGGACTCCCATTGCACTTAGACTAAAAACCAGATTCCCCTGTAGGGTTCCATGCATGATCTTCCCGCACTCCTCTGCCCCCTACTCACTGTGCCTTCCCTGACTCCCAACTGAAAGTAGAGCCCCAAGCCACATTCTTCTCTATAATTGCTGCCCCTGGCCCATCAGGGTACCTGTTATGTTCATTTGGAAGACATTTCAGGGTAAAGACCACATCTGAGAGAACTCCCCTCCCATGCCCCTCTTTCTTTCAATCCCCCTGCTTTCCTTCATAGACATTCCCACAATTTGAAATCTCCTAGATAATTTATATACCTATTTTGTGTCTTTGTCATTTACCCCACATAGTATTTGGAGCAGAACTTGGTGCACACCTAATGTTTGTTGATGAAACGAATGAATGAATGAATAATCAGAAAAATTACAAGATACGGACTGGAGAGGAGAAAGACCAGGAAAAGAAAGCTGTGGGGGAAACTGCTATGATCAACCAGGCAGGAGAAAGGGCTTCATATAGGGCAGAGCTGGAACACAACAGCAGTGTTGATGTACTCTAGACACAGTTTTAAATTTGAAGCAATTGGTATTAGTGACCAACCAAATGTCAAGGATGAGAAAGAGGGATAAGGATGCCTCTCCCCGCCCCCCAGTGAAGGAGCAAAGCAGGAAGAGTTGGTTGGGGATTTAGGGAGATGAGTCCACTTGGATTTGTTACGTCTGAAGTGTTTGAAGGACATCCAAATGAATGTCCTTCAAATTCCTTCAGAAGGAATTTGGATTGGCTTGTGCCTGGCAAGAGGCCAGCTCTGGAATTTGGGATGGAACCACAGAGGGCAAGAGTAGATGAGGCCATCCAAAAAGAGTGTACATATGGAGGGGACTAGAGGCCCAAATTTGGGGAACATTAAAACTTGAGGAACCTGCAGGGACCAACCAAAAGTGATCAGAAAGGTTAGGTTCCTGAACAGAGTAGAGAGGAAACCCAGAAAGCAGTTAAGGAAGCTTCCAGAAGAAGGGGATGGTACCAACAATGTCAGATATTGCAAACATCTTGCAAGGAAAAACAGGCCACTGGATTTGGCAACAAGGATCTCTCTTAATCTTTCCAGGGTGGAGTCACCTCTGAGGTTGGGGAGAAAGCCAGATTGTGACGGATGAAGCAGTAAATGGGAAGGGAAGTGGTAGAAACAGCAAATGGAGACAGTTCTTTAAAATTTTTTGATAGGAGGAA